CAAAGTCTACCTACCCTAGTGTGTCGCAGAATTGTGTTTTTAGATGTATTCAAAAGATTGGTATCCTGGTTGGTTCTCAATGTCAATTTTGGCTGTTAGAAGACACTTCAGATAGCTTAATTCGCAATCAGTGAACTCAGAATAAAACCGATTGTGTAGAGTAATCTCAAGCAAAATATAGCAACGATTTTTGAATGCTTTAAAGTTGGAATATTTTATAGGAATACTCAAAACAGAAAGTGTGTCTGAAAAAAAGATAAAATGTAACAATATACAATGCGTGAATGAGTATGGGGCGTTGTTCTAATGTACGGCAATTCATGCATCCTTATCTTTGAGTTTTTTTGCTCAAAAATGTTCCTTAAAAGACTTTGAAGTACAATGCGCGACGCAATACACGATTCATGCGGCTCCCAAAGACTTGTCGGCAACCCACAAACGGTTCTGACATTCCTGGGGTTCATCAGGTAGGAAACTTTTTCGAGTTTCCGTCAACTTGATGTTATACGTGAACCCAAGTTGTAAGTGACTCGCGAAATACACTCAATCGTTTAGTCTTAACATGAGTCACAGCTGAAGCACAGCTCAATCATAAACGATAGATTTAGCTGAAATCGAGTTGAGTGTGCACATTAGCAGAAAAATGAGTGGACCTTACAAAATTACGAGTCCAAAAGCTGTTAACTTTCAGAAAGCCGTTTTCTGGTGGATGAAAACATAGGACGATTTACACGACACACATTACCCTTATCATTCATCTCAGACTGAGATAATTGCTTTTTGTATTCCGTCTGCTTAGATTTATATTTCCTGTTTTTACGGCTCCCGTGAAGTAAAATAGCTTAGGTCTTCCGGTTGGAGTCTGCCTACACGTGAAATCCCCACGAAGAATGATACCCGTAAAGCACAACCTCAAGGGTACCTTCACCTGTCTTCAGCGTGCTTTTTCGGCTGAATCACCTCCATTTCAAGGTTTAAACTTGCATCCTTTGAGTTCGCAAAAATTAGACTGCCCCGATGAAGTCACTTCAAGCGGACGTATTGGTAAGCTTTTGTCATTCCCATACTTATCATAAAGTGCATGCCACTTGATTTTGGCATTCAAGCCATTCGCTTTATTGTTTCACAGTTCTTATTTTTTGACCCACTTTTTAGAATATTTGGGTTCATCTGCTAGTTGAGTTTAATTAGACAAAAAGCAAAAATGAAGAATGCCCAAATAGCAAACGGAGAATAACATTTTGAGATGTGTCAGTTTTGAGCGCTCTTGCCAGCTACACAAGACAAAAACAAAGGCAACACAGAGCAAACGAAAGAACTGGAGTGTACTGTGAACGCTTTTATTTTATTCGCACTTTTGTGGTTAACTAATTCAGACTGTTTTTCGCAAACTTCTGTTTTAGTTGATAATGGCTCTACTTAACTTTTGATCATCACGAGTTAGGCCAGAAACGGGGATACTCCGGGAAATACCTGAGATAGATTCGCAAAATAAATACATAACAGAGTGTCTTCATCAGGTGCGTTAACAGACAGCGGGGAGGGTTTTTTCATTTGAACTGTTGGTTTAGACGTGAAAAACCTGCGTTTCTACAGGCAGTGGAGTTGAGAAATAAAAATTCCAGGAATCATTCTAATTTTGGTGCTGGTGGATGAACAGTCTTCAGAGCCACATCCATGAGACAAATCAAGAACTTCCAATCAGCAACGCCATCTTAACCTTTTCTGTCATTCTCGTAAAATACTCTGTCAAAGAACAAACCTTAGTGTCGTTTCAGTCTAATTCTGAAACATCCTATTCTGGTCCATGCGACACGCAAACTATAACACTCAGAGCTCTGACAAGCAGTGCCGTTCCCAGAGGTGGCATTTTCCAAATAAATGTCACGCTAAAATGAACTGCGGGCACATTTGGACACGGAGTGTGGCTTGCATTTTCTCTGAAGCGCAACGCATTTATGTGTGTTTTAACTACCTTTACGCGTGCCTCACCACACACAATCTCAGGTGCTGGAAAGCTCACCTGCCTGCCATGTGTCCAGGAACCGGGCTTAGATTTAATGACGCCAAGAGGTGTAAACATTCTGCCCACTAGGACCCTTGTTCGACGGTGAGAAACAACGTCATTTGCCCAGTTACCCACCTGGTGTTTGTAGTTTCCCATACAGTACAGAACACAGCTAAAGATGACCTCCAGTAACGCGAGGGGCTGTGGGAGTTTGCTGCGATGTTAGGATGTTCGGTGGAAGTAGTGGACAGGATTGGGTCTTTGACTGCTAAAGAAATGGTTTTACTGACTAGTGTTCATCGCATTACAAATATTTAGCCCTGATCAACTGATTGTTTTTCCTGGAGATTAGCAACTGATGCCTTAGTTCACATCCAGCTTGTGAATTAACGGATAAGTAAAATATATGCCAGTCAGTATGATATAACGCACAAATGTGCACGTTTGCACTATATACATAGGGTGGGACGAAAGAATATAAGAACAGTGTAGTACGGTCTATTGGTATTGTGTTGGAATATTGATAGCTCGGGTGCATTAGTTGGTAGTTAATCAGGTGGCTGTTGGTCTGCTCGCCGAGCTTGGGAATTGATTCGCAAACGTTTCGTCACCATTCGATGAGACATCTTCAGTGCGCTGTTGGTTGGGGAGTCCCTCTTTTCATGCCTGCATTTATATGGTTTACAAAGAGCAGCCTTCGCAGAGACTGCTCTTTACAAAGGCTTTTACAAAGGCGGCTCTTTGTAAACTATATAAATGCAGGCATAAAAAGAGGGAATACCCAACCAACAGCGCACTAAAAATGACTTCTAGAATGGTGACAAAACGTTTGCAAATCAATTGCCAACCTCGACGATCAGATCAACAGTTACCTGATTAACTATCAAGTACGGCCTATCGCCTGCAACGTATGTTAGATACAGTTTTCAAATAACTGACATTTTGCAACCCTACAAACATAGGTTGACATCGATGGTCATCAGAAATTGTACTCAATGAACAAATCGTGGCGGGTTCCCACTCGGACATGATTCACAGAATTCCCCAACCAATTCTACACCGACGAGGAAGAAACTGCAATTTTATGCAGCCATTCGGGGATCTAAGCTAATTTGATTCAAAACACAAAACACTAGCAGAACCGGACAGTGTGACTAGCTCACCGTCCGGTTTAGATCAGTCCAACTCGGAAAACTAGGTGAGTTTCCCAGTATCAGAAAATACGGAAACAACAGATGTTGTGGTTTGAAAAGTTTTGGATACTTATTTCAGTGACTGGTTTACTTATTACGACAGTCCTGAGACCTTCTTTGAAAGATTTACCTCCAGTTGTTCAAAATAGGAGGCAGCGATCTGCCGTTTAACCTGCAATTATATTGTACAATACTGACTATGGAAAAGCTCGCTTAATAAATTAAAGATTTGGACTTCAAATTTCAGCAGCAGTTTGTACATGAATAAACAAGATAATCTCAACAGTTTCAGGTTATATCCGCAATCCCGTTACTATGCAAAAAAGTGCCCCAAAATAGTCAGACACGTATATTTACAGCAAAGTACCTCATTTGCTTGAGCTTCTAAAGTCATGTATGATTACTCGGAAAACTTACTCGGATGGGATTTAAAGTAAGAATGCTTTTTACTAACGACGCAGATTAGTACTGTCGAGGAATTGGCAAACTGGTTACACGGACATGGACGGAGATGGAATTCAGGGCTTTGCACAGTGGATATCAGTTTGATCTTACTAGATACCAATAAAAAGCTGGCCACCCTACCCCATGGAATCTTAGCGAGACATTCGGCTTTGCTCACTGATATAGACCTCTCACTGAATTTTATATCATTTGATTGTCAGAAGTAAGCAAACTTCAGCACTGGCTTTGAACGCTATTACAACTCTCCAATAGGAAAAAAATCAAGCCATTTGGCCTCTATCCCTTCAGATGTTTGAATTTCCTCACTTAGTAATTAAGTCCTACTACTGGGTGATTGCAAATCGTGCATTAACGTCGATCAGGTTGCTCTCGAATGCCAAATAATTTTAACTGCATCATTTTGTTGGGCTGGCAAAC